ACGAGAAGACCACTGCAGGGCTGATAAAGGCGTTATCAAATATGTACGAGAAGCCATCTACTTCAAATAAAGTCTATTTGATACGCCGATTGTTCAACTTAAAGATGACATAAGGTGGATATGTTACGGAACATATCAATGAGTTTAATGTAATATTAACTCAGTTAAGTTCTGTTAATCATTCGATGACGAAGTCAGGGCATTGATTCTACTATTATCTCTACCGGAGATTTGGTCTGCATCAGTAATTGCAATTAGCAGTTCATCGGAAAGTACCAAACTCAAATTGGAGGATATTAGAGACTTGGTTCTAAGCGAAGATATTCGCCGAAGAGAATCAAGTGATTCCCCAGGATCTACTTTTAATACCGAAAGCAGAGGGAGAAGCATCCAAATAGGACAAAGTCATGGTCGTAGTAGATCAAAATCAAGGAGAAGAGGGCAATCCAAAAATCGCAAAGACATTACTTGTTGGACTTACGATAAAAAAAGGTCACTATAGTAGTCAATGTAGAGAGCCAAAAAAGAAGAAGAACGACCAATACAAAGATGATAATTCAGCAAATGCAATTGCTGAACAAGTTAGTGATGCACTAATTTATTGTACAAATAATCCAATCGAATCTTGGATTCTGGACTCAGGAGCATCCTTTTACTCTACCTCATGCAAAGAATTATTGCATAATTATATTGATGGAAAATTTGAAAAGATTTATCTAGCAGACGGCAAACCTCTAGATATTGTTGGGAAAGGTGAAGTTCATATAAAGACTTCACAAGGGACGATATTGAAATTGCAAAATGTCCGACATGTTCCTGGCCTAAAAAAAATCTGATATTTATAGGTCAGATTGGCAGTGAAGGATACACAACGGTATTCGGTAACGTATCATGGAAAATAACCAAAACAAATTTAGTTGTGGCACGAGGCTACAAGAAGGGAAGTATGCAACTGCAATACAGAGAGAAACTATAGCAATGGTTGATCATGGTCGTGATACAATATTGTGGCACCGGAGACTCGAGCATATGAGTGAGAAGGTAATGAAGTTGTTGGCATCCAAATAAAAGTTTCCAAACCTAAAGCATGTTAAATTAGGCATGTGCGAAGATTGCATTTACAGAAAATAAAAGAAAGTTAGTTTCTCAAAGGCGGGAAGGACGCCAAAGAAAGAGAAGTTAGAACTAGTGCATACAGATGTGTGGGGACCAGCTCCTATAACTTCTCTGGGAGGATCACACTATTATGTCACCTTCATTGATAATTCCACAAGAAAGTTATGGGTTTATTTTCTAGAAAATAAATCTGATGTGTTTGTTACCTTTAAAAGATGAAAAGCTTAAGTTGAAAATCAGACAAGTCTAAAGTTAAAATGTCTGAAGTCTGACAATGGAGGAGAGTATGATAGTCAAGAGTTTAAAGCATTCTGCTCTGAGAATAGGATCAGAATAATCAAGACAGTTCCTATAACACCGGAACAAAATGGCGTTGCTGAGAGGATGAACAGAACCCTGAATGAACGAGCCATAAGTATGAGAATACATTCTGGATTGCCGAAGTATTTTTGGGCCACGGCTGTTAACACGGTAGCTTACCTCATAAACAGGGGACCCTCTGTGCCACTGAAGTTTGAAATTTCTGAGGAGGTATGGACAGGAAAGGAGGTAACTCTCTCACATTTGTAATTTTTTGGTTGTGTTGCTTATGTGCATATAAACTCTAATGATATAGATAAGCTGGATCCTAAAGCCAAGAAATATTTCTTTATTGGCTATGGTGATGATAATTTTGGTTATCGATTTTGGGATAATCAGAATACAAAGATCCTAGACACAGGAATGTCACATTTAATAAAAATGTAATGTACAAGGACAAGCTTAAAGTTGAACCAACCAGCACTAGCAAATAGACATCTAAAACAGTTGAGTTAGAAGAAATCGCAGAAAATGAAGTGGCTAGAGGGATTAAAACTAATTCTGAAATTGAAGATGAAGAACCAGAATCCAAATCTGTATCAGAACCATAACCAGAATCAGAGATAGAATCATATGGAGAACCAGATCTGGAGTCAGGACTTGAATGAAATTCGGGATCAGTTAATCCTGAACCTACATTAAGAAGATCTAAAAGAGTCATGAATGCTCCAAATAAGTTAACTCTCTCTCTCTCTCTCTCTCTCTCTCTCTCTCTCTCACTCCACTATTTACTTTTGACTGATGTTGGAGAACCAAAGCATTTTGTTGAAGCAATGCAGGTGATAAACTATGATAAGTGGAAGCTATCCATGAAAGAAGAGATGAATTCTCTTCAAAAGAATAAAACATGGATACTTACAAAGCTACCAAAAGGAAAAAGGGCATTGTAAAACAAGTGGGTGTACAGGGTCAAGGAAGAGCATAATGGTAAGAAGAGATACAAAGCACGATTAGTAGTAAAAGGCTTTCAGCAGAAGGAAGGAATTGACTACACCGAGATCTTCTCTCGTGCAGTCAAATTAACTACTATCAGGTTAATGCTAAGTATCGTAGCTGCAGAAAATTTGCATTTGGAGCAGCTAGATGTCAAAACTGCTTTCTTGCATGGTGACCTTGAAGAAGACATCTACATGAAGCAACTTGAAGGTTTTAAACTTTTTGGTAAAGAAAATCTTGTGTGTAAGTTGAAGAAGAGTTTGTATGGTTTGAAAAAAGCTCCCCGGCAATGGTACAAGAAATTTGATCGATTCATACATAACAATGGTTTCACGCGATGTGAGATGGACCAATGCTACTATATAAAAAATCTTGATAAATCATATATCATTTTACTGTTATACGTTTATGATATGCTAATTGCAGGATCTAGCATAAATGAGATCAACAGGCTTAAGCAACAACTTGCGGAGGAGTTTGAAATAAATAACTTAGGATCAGCTAAGCAAATATTTGGGAAGAGGATTAGCAAAAATAGGTATGAAAGAACCTTAAAATTGTCTCAAGAAAAGTACATATAGAAGGTACTAAGCAGGTTCAGTCTTCATGATGCAAAGACCAGAAGTACTCCACTCGGAAGCCATCTTAATTTGTCGAATGACCAATCACCTAAGACGGATGAAGAAAGTGAGTACATGTCCAAAGTTCCATATGCTTTAATAGTAGGAAGTTTGATGTATGTTATGGTTTGTACTAGATCTGACATAGCCCATGCAGTTGGAGTTATCAGCAGATACATGTCAGATCCAGAAAATGAGCATTGGAAAAGTGTAAAATGGATATTGCGATATCTCAAAGGGACCTCAAGTATGTCACTTTGTTTTAAAAGGAGCAATATTATCTTACAAGGTTTTGCTGATGCAAATTTAGGCGGCGATCTGGATAGTCGCAAAAATACCACGGGCTACGCGTTCACCTTAAGTGGTACTGCTGTTAGCTCGATGTCCAAACTTCAGAAAAGTGTTGCTCTATCTACCACAGAAGCATAGTACATAGCAATCTCAGAAGCTGGAAAAGAGATTATCTGGCTCAAGAACTTTCTTAAAGAGCTAGGTAAAGAGCGGGACAATTGTGAGCTTTTCAGCTATAGCGAGAGTGCAGTTCATCTTGCCAAGAATCTAGTGTTTCATGCAAGATCGAAGCACATCCAGTTGAGGTATCATCATATCCGTGAGTTTAAGTGAAGAAATTCTTTCCCTACGGAAGATACCAGGATCGAAGAACCCGTCAGACATGTTGACCAAAGTTGTCGGTGCTGACAAACTGAGGTTGTGCACTGCCTCAGTTAGCCTTCAAGACTGATAATGAGAAGGTGCCACTAGAGAATAGCAAATCTTTTTTTAAAAAAAAAATTTCTTGATGTAACATAGGTTTGAAGGGGGGATTGATGGGAACAAATCTTGGTGTATATGAAAGAAAGAAAAGAAGAGAAACCCATGTGAGCAAAATGAAAAAAATCAAAGAAAAAGAAAGAAAGGAAAGATAGAAAGACACGGAAATAAATAAGAGTCAGAAAAGGCAAGTTGCAAATGTGAAAGAAGAATTCAGCGCGCAGTTTGCGGTGTCGTCCTCTTCGTATTCACATTCGCTGAAAATTTTCTTTCAGCAAACATTTTGCCTATAAATAGTCATCCACTCCTTCAGTTGTAAATCATCCTTCAATTTCTTATTTCTCTTCAATTAATAAAGAGTTATTCTTTATGTGGCCGTGGAGTAGACAAAATTATCGAATCACGTAAATCTTATCTTGTCTTGTACAATTTATTATTTTTCTCTTTTAAATATTATTTCCCTTCTATTAGCCTTTTACGCTTCCTCACAATGGAAAGTGTTGATATTCTTCTAATTGCTAATAAAAATGCTCAAAAACAACTTTCTATATCTAACATTGTTTAAGAAGCACACAGAAGCCTGCCCAGAATAGATGACGATACTTTGGATCTGACCAAATGACACAGCTTTCATGCTTCTGTTCAACTTTTTCATCGATGTGTATGCTTCTTTTGTCATTTTGTATTCCAAGTGCTTTAATGGTTTGATTTTTATTTTTCTTTACTTTTAAGGATTTGGTTATAGTACTTTTGTACATATTCGTAAATAAAATTTCTTTTTAGAATATTTATGCAATTGAAATTAATTATTTTAGGTACTTGTCTTGTAATATCCGATACAAGATATTTGTACGCACAACCATAGAAACTAGTGGCAAACCCTTCACCAGCCCATGCACACTTACTATCAACACCCTTAAATACTGATACCGCCAGAATTGAAATACAATACAACCACGCACTGCTTTCTACGGGAGCCAGAGACGGATTTAGGATTTAGGATTTAAATGGGTTCAACATTTAAGGTTTGTAGCATTGAATTCATTATATTTTTAAAATTACGGGTTCATATCTACAATTTGTTGTATTTTTAGTGAAATTTTTATACATAAATTTGTGCTACCCGTCGAAAGTGCCGAGTTCAGATGAACCTGGCACTAAAGTGCTGGATCCGCCCCTGATTGGAGCATGACAAAATGAAAAATCAGCAGGAATTATCAAATCAAAACATTGTTACAGGAATTACAACAACAAGAATTCAGCCTCAACTATGGAAGCTGACAAAAGGGAAAAAAGCATTTGGAGTCATAGGCAGAATAAATATTACTTAACTTATTGAGTTGTCTCAATCAAGAACATAAGACACAATACTTACCAATATTTAACAAAGGGCTGAAGCTCATTTCTGGTGTTTGGATTATCCCATTCCAAAGATTCCCACCATTCTTTATCACTTGAATGTATAGCAATTTCTTTAAGAGTTGAAGGAATGGTAAATTTCTCATCTTCTTCTTGGGAAGAAAAAAAGAAAGGCAATTTCCTTAACTTACCACATTCCTTTATTGACACTTTCTTGATTGAGTTACAATCCATTTTTCCATTGCATATGCTTTTCAATTCAGGCAAAGACCATAAGTAAATCCTCGTCAATGTAGGAAGGACGACGATTCCATCATTTTCATCTGCAATTATTTCCTCTATTTGACTACAGGAGAGGACATATATTCTCTCAAGATTTTGCATGTTTGAGCATAAACCAATTGGAAATAGCTTCTTGATACTGTGACATCTCTCGATTCGTATCATTCTAAGGCAAGAAAAGATACTTACTGAAATTGAAGCTCTTAAACTTGTTTTCCAGTCATCAAATATACCAACAAAACTATGCAATTCAAGAAGATCAAGATGCTCGAGAGAATGAAATATGACAGATTCTTCGCTCACTTCTATCCTCATGAGGTACTCCAGTTTGTTGCACCAACGAACTTTGAAGTACTTTAAATCTTTAGAATCATAAAGACGGGGCAAATGTTCTGAAAGACAGCCACTGAAGTTATTGCAGCTCTCAATTTTCAAATGCTCAATATCCTGTGGAAGCAATAACACTTCATCTTCTTTCCCAAGTCCATAACACTTGACTAATTTATCAGAAAATCTGTTATGATTGAATTGGATTTGTGTCATTGGTCCTAAACCATCATATTGACCTACTAATATTCTATAAAACCTAAGACATCCCTCATTTTCTTGAGCATTAATGAATTGGTTGAAATCTTGAACATTAGAGAACCTACCTTGAAATTCTTCCAACTCTTTTAGCTCCTCTAGTTCCTCACCTTCTACGTCTATATGATGCGATAACACTAGGCATTGGAGAGAGGAGATTTGAGGCAATATCCCAATTGGTATTTTCTCGAGCCAACGCATTGCATGCAAATTAAGGCATTTGAGGTTCAACAAAGTCTCAAGGGCTACTGGCAGAGTCTGAATCCCAGTGCCACTCAAGTCCAATTCTTGCAAAGCCTCGAGTTTTTCCAAGGTTGGCATTGACCTTAGGTTCCAACAAAATGCAAGCAAGAGAGCAGTGAGATTTTCCAAGTCTGATACAGAATCAGGCAACTTCTCAATGCAAGTGTAACCTAAATCAAGAACACGTAACGCCTTCATGTGCTCGAAGAAAGAATCTGGAATTTTCAACAAGTGATAATTCTGCTGCAACATCAAGGTTGTCAGCCTAGGACACTTAGCTGATGTTCCTGCTGGAATTTCAGCTATCTCGTTCCTCATTAGCGATGCCTGTAGGAAAAAATTAGAAGACGAAAGCTATTATTCCCTCAAGATCTATCATATCAAATCATATAGAATTAAACTAAATGCAGAAGTATACTTGAATCCATAGTAATATATTTCTTCATTCTAGTGATCTTCCAAACCAAGACGTATTAATTTCATAATGATATGTCTGATTTGGAGGTCATAACCCTATTTATAATTGCGCGCTGTTTCTTTATTTCTACTTTAGCGCATACTTTAATTAGAAATTACATTAGTGTGTCTATACACAAAGGGTCATGCTTTATGAGGAGTCCTAGGCCTATTCAACTTTAAACCTTCACAAATTACTTTTAGTTTAGGCAAAACCTTTTAATAATAACAAATAACATACAATTATTGACTGTCTATACATAAGGTCAAGTGTATAAAGTTTCTAACAAATACCTTGTCCAAACTTTCCAGCCATTCATCTTCCTTTGGTGCATCATTCAATTGAACTCCAGCTTTTACCATAAACTTGGGATTTTCATTAGTGATCCTCAGTGCCATTTCTCTAATCAAATTGTGCATTTTCACACATTGATTACCTTTGTTATCTATGGCATTTTCCAACAAACAAACACTTTCCAATCTGCTCAATATCTCATATCCCTCCTCAAACTCTGCCTCGCGAGTCTCTTTTGTATCGATTAGTCCCTCTAAAATGAACCTACTTATCAATTTATCCTTTGGAATTTTCTCATCTTCTGGATACAAACAACAATACAAGAAACATTGTTGTAAGTTTTGTTCCTTCAAACAATTAAAACTATATAGCAACATTTCTATAACATCATTGTTTTCCCCTTTTAAAGATTCTTGAATAATATTTTCCAAGGCCTTTTTCCATTGATTAACACCATCCAATTCCAACCCTTTTAGGCTTTTAGCTATTGTAATTATCCTAAGTGGAAGGCCACCACAACTATTTACTACAGACTTCGCCATTCCTTCTACTTCTTGATGAATTACTACTTTCTCATTTCCAAGTTTTTCTATAAAAAAGCTCCAAGATTCTTCTTCTTCTAGTTTTTTCACTCCAAATTTCCTTTGACATCCCATTTTTCGACACGTTTCGAGCAAACAACTTGTTACTATCAACCTTCCCCCTTCAACTTTTAAAGGATTTCCTAACATCTTTAAAGGTATATCTTCCAATACATCATCCAATATTAGAACAAAATCTTTTTTCCCTTTGAACGAGTCGTGTAACGCTGTCGCTCTCTTCTCTTCATCTTCTTCCTCTAAAAGATCCAATCCAATTGCTGCAGCAATATCACTTTGTAATTCCCTGATGCTGCTTTCTTGAGAAATGTTTATCCAAAAAACTTGGTATTGAGTTTTTTGTTGGAGAAGATGATTTATTAGCTTGGCTAAGGTTGTTTTTCCAACCCCTTTAACTCCATATATACCAATGCTTGTAACTTTGTCTTTCTTTAAGCATCTCCAAATTCTTTCACACGTTCTCTTGGTTTCTTGACCAAATAGCTTTGTTGTGAAAAATGACTCCCCTGCTTCATTTGCTTCCATTTTGGTCACAAAATCTCCAAATTTCCCCTGTGATTAATCAAGAAACTAGTAGTTAGCACGTAGGCAGATAAAAGATTTAAACTCGGTAGGTCCAATCTTTAATTTTCTTAGTACTGAGTTAATGACACTTTTGAAATTATGTGCGTAGAGTTCAATATTTGTAAGAAGTTTCAGAGAAGTTTCACATGTGTGTGCTTCGTGTCGAAAATATTAGGTTCAGCTTAACCTGCCACGCATAAGCTGCATCCGCCCATAGTGTTGCAAAAATAGACAAACAAGAAAATAAACTAAAGGACATTTTCATAAACAACATAGAGTTGTAAGCTGAGTTCAAGAGAAATATGGAAAGAGTATAGAGTAAAATTATAGGTGTAAATAAACTTTAAAATACCGCAAATGCTAGCAATTAATGTTTGGTACAATGGAATCGGTTTTTTCCCTTGAGGAAATCATAATTTTCACTCGCTACGACGGAAAACATGTTTGAGAATATGTTTTTTTCTTTTGACTTATTTTCCTGAAAAATATTTTCCAATATTTTATCCGAAAGTGAAAATATTTTTTTTAAAATGTTTATTAAAAATTGATGAGAATGTATAAGTTAGCTAGAATAGTAATGTGGAGTTAAGAGTTTGAGGTGGTTGTAACCTTTTTGGTGAAAAATATTTGATAAAATAGACTTTAGGCCTAACTCAACCCCAAAAGCTAACTTATGAAGCGAGAATTGTCTACGACCATACAAGGAGATCACTCATCCCCTTCATTGTCGATGTGGGACTCAACAATATTTTCCTTAAAACATACTTTCTTACAACTAAATACCAAGAATATGAATTATTTTTCTGAAGACATTTCTTCTATAAATTTTAAATTCCACATGTGAAATTCCAGGATATTGACATAGAGGTTTACCTATGAAATATAAAACTTCATGACAATGACTATTTTTCAATACATGGCTAAAAAGTGGCTAACTCGCGCTATTACTAAGCAATTTATCTATCAAGCCCAGAGTATCTTAAAGAAAAAAACAAGAAATTCCAATCTAGAAAGAGCACTATACCTTAAAACTTTTGTTTTGTCTCCGATGATAAGTGTTGTTAAGCAAAGAGGTCAAGAGAGACCATCTTTTTTTGTCTCTGTGAAAAACCATAAAAATGAGTGAAAATTATGAAACAAAGAGCATCATTTTATTGATATTAAATTAAAAGGTTTCTTCTTCTTAAAAGAGTTGGCCAAGTTAGGCTTATATATAAATTTGTGATAATTGCTGACCACTAAAATCACAGTGGAAAATAGCAAGTCAAATCTGTTTAATAAAATTATACATTGTTTACGTAGTAGGTATATATATAAAATAAATTAACAGGTAATATATGTCCACATAACACATTATTGACAACCCAAAATTTTAAACATGCTGACCACTACCAGTTCGTGGGACTTCGATTATGCTGTGAATTGGTATCTTTAATTATTTTACTTTATTTATTTTTTTAAAACTAAATATTGAGCATTCTCTGGCAGGCCAATCCTCTGGGTCTGCCTTTCTTTTTTTCTTCCAACCAAATTCTTATTTATAGATTATTTTATTATAATCATTTGGTATTATGTATACAGCTAATTCGGATACGCATCGCGGTGGGTTCATTAAAGAGAAAGCGGTCTCTATCAAGAACATGTCCATTTCCAAGGCTCGAACCGAATACATCTAATTAAAGATAGAGGGATCTCATCCATCCCACCACATCTCTCGATAATAAATATCAAAATCCCAATATTAGTTAAAATGCCTTATTTTAATTTCCTTTTTGCACTAAGTGGCTAATAAGAATCTAACGTGAATTCAGATAAAAGTCTTCTTTTAGTTTCCTCCCCTTTTTCTTTTCACTCTCTTAAATGGCTATATAGAATCCCACATTAATTAGGAGTAAACTCTTCGGTGATTATGATTTTCTACCAGTTTTTTTTTTACCATTAGCGCAGTATTACGAAGGCTTGGAATAAGAATTTATTGAGATGAGATATTTTACCAGTACCGGATTTGATAATAAATAGCTATTGTGATATGAAGTTATTGCTATAAGTATACTAGCTATGGCTTTACAAAACAGCTTATTAAATAAAAAGGTTTATCCAACTGTGACAAATCGTAATTAACGAACGTTGCTTAACTTCTTATTACATAAAAGGGTCATTTGTAAAAATAAAGTCTTTTCCCTAAAAACAAATTAAGAACAATGACACTATGCTCATGTGAGAAGCAGAAAAATTTCAGCCTAATAACACAAACATAAGGAATTTCGTCAAATGTACAAAAAGCAAAATGGGCAGATAAACTCGTGTTTTAAAAGGCATTTCTGGGACTCGTCCGGGGCTCGCCTCTGGGCGGGGCACTTGCAAAACGCCCTGGGGCTCATGTATGGGGTTTAGTTCTGTGAGGCTTACGCCCCAAGAGTTCGACCCTGCGCCCTAAACACGCTTAACGCCCGACGCTCGGGGCTCGCCTAACAGTTCTAACGCAAATCACATATCGAATTTCCTAATTAATATTGTTGACCTTCAAAATTCTTTAACAAATTAATGATAAAAGTTCTATTCATCGATAGAAATATGAAGATTGAGCATAACTCTAATAATGAGACATAGTATTGCGAATTTATATCTTCACTTGTTATTGGTCGTGTCTTAGTTCATTTGTCCCTCCTTGTTATACACTTTTATTTTGATATCTTAAACTAATTTATATTTATTCATGAAGGAGTAATATTTTAATTATCGTACTAATAAGATTTTATTAATTATTTACTTTTAGGAAGGTAAAATGTGGAGTTTGATCATTTTTTTAAAGAAATTGTAAGTTATTGATTATTTGAAAGTTAAAGACGTTATACTCGCGGCCCGCACCGAAACAGTGNATATTTATTCATGAAGGAGTAATATTTTAATTATCGTACTAATAAGATTTTATTAATTATTTACTTTTAGGAAGGTAAAATGTGGAGTTTGATCATTTTTTTAAAAAAAAATTGTAAGTTTTTAATTATTTGAAAGTTAAAGACGTTATACGTGATTTGTATGCATTAGTTATACTTAAGAATCATGCTAGATATTTGTTTTCTATGAGTTCCTTTAATTTTCTTTTAATTTTTAACTTTTAATTTATATTTTATATTTTTTTGTGTTATTATGTTATTTTATTAATTTATAAATTAAAAATTTTAAAGATCCATTGGGCTTACTCCCCCGGGCTTACGCCTAGCCCCATATCAAGTAAAACGCCCCGCCTCAAGCCCCCGCCTTTTAAAACATTGCTTGTTAGTAGCGTATAATAGATTGTTTGACTAGTTTTTTGTGGGGATAGACCATATATATTTCACATATTTATAGTTTTCTTCAATTTTTATGTAATTTTATCTGTTTATAAATATTTACTGTCATTATATTATTTTATAAAATATTAAAAATCAAATATTTATGGGGCTTACGCCTCGTTGAGGCATATGTAAAACGCCTTGCTGAACGCCCACGCCTTTTAAAATACGGGATAAACAAAGGAGGTAGGAAAGCTGGATTTTGGGAAGATGTTTCAAATTTTCCTTTCATAATGATGATATTCTCAACTTAATGTAAAGATTAGCCGTCTCCCAAAACAAAAACAAATTGGGCCCGATTTCCATAATAGAATCCAAGTTGATGAAGGAAAGGGATTGAAAAGCTTGAGGCCCAAATAATTTCCAAACCAGTCCAAGTTAGTTCAGGAAAAGGATTTTTTACAAACCAAAATAATAATTTACGTTGTTTCTAAATTATTCCAAATGATCACTTTAGTTTTTTTCTTTATTTTTTTTCTCATTTAGAAAACCTATTTTAACTTTCCTAAACCTTCTCAAACTAGAATTATTGCTTAGGAAGGTAGGAAAAAATAGGAAAAAGGAAATCCAAGTCCAACTAGGTTTATGTTAAATAAATAACTATAAATAACCTACTTCCTAGTCATTTAAAATCTATCAAAGCTTCTCTAAACTGCTTTTGGTTTCCTTTCTAGTTTTCATTTCCATCAAAGTTTTAGTAGTCAAAGTCCGATAATTAAGTCTGTGAATAGCCATGGCACTTTACTTGCCTTATTCTCACGAACAAAGCATTTATTTTCCTATTATCGAAAACACTGCTCGAATTTGTCACGTACAATCATCAATCAAACAGCGCAATGCACCTATCTACATTAGTTGGTCTTTTCCTCCTCAGGGATATATCAAGATTAATACAGATGGAAGTTTTATGCCTAATTCAGGACTAGCAGGGTTCGGGGGTATTGCACGAGATGACAAAGGAAGATGGATAGGCGGATTCTATGGCCGACTTAGCATGAAAGCGACATCAAGTATCACATCGGAATTGTGGGCCATACATGGCGGGCTGACTCTAGCAAAAAACTACAACTTGAAGAAGGTTCTGATCGAAACCGACTCAAGCGATGCCTTAATGTTGCTAACCGTGGCGGATAATGTCACTGAAAGTCACCCCGATCGTGTTCTGATGGAAGAGTGCAGGAATCTCATATCCAAACTTGGAATTACTCTAATCCATACTCTGAGACAAGGAAATAATTGTGCTGATCATTTGGCGAAGTTGGGAAGAACGCAGAAAGAAGACTTGGTAATATTGCATCGCCCACCACATTCTATGCAGCAATTGCTACTTGCGGATATGGCTCACGTAGCATATGCTAGGTATCCGAAGCATGTAACCAAATGAGAAGCCTAGGACAAAAATATTGTTCAGTTGTAACATCTGTAAATATCGAAAAGAATTTAATAATTTGAAAGATAATTTTTTGAATGTCGGAGATCATTACGAGTAATATTTATCTTCTCTATTTTTTCTGGCATTTTCTTTACTCATTTGCACTATTTAATTCATTATACTTGCTGGCGATACTGTAACGATTGTTTAAACCGCACAGTCATTGCTAACGTTTTTGGTATCATTTCATTTACGTCAGACTTCAAAAATGAGTAAAGCGTATTAACCAGCATTTCTTGGATGTTAAAAAAGAGCCATCAGTCAAAAATGTATTATCAGAAAAATATATATAAGATTGCAAGTTTTAGAAAATCCTCTACCAATGGAAACTAAAACAATATGAATTTCATTTTATTTTAATTTTCTTAAGAATAAGAAGTAGTAAATTTAGTTCCTGAATTATTGTTTATTCCGTGAATGTTCATGTGCTATTCGCCCTACAAATTTGTCTTTCAACTAAATCAAATGGGCGATTAATTTAATGCTTATACTTAAAAAGAAGCTAACAGAAGTTAAAACAACTACGGTCAAACATCTCTATAACAACCTCGTTTGTTCCGAATATTTTTGGATATTATAGCGAAGCGCTGTTATATAGAACATATATTATAACATAACATGAAAATTGATTGCGAAAACACTTGACTTTTATAGTGAAATATTGTTATATAAGGATGTTATTATAGAGAGGCCTAACGATAACTTAATCATGTGAAGAAGCGTTGTTAGATGTTTCATTTTAATTTCCTATTGAGGCCTAACTTAAACCTGTGCTCGAGAGACAGTTGTCCATATAATAATAACCTTAAATTCATGGTGTGAATATTAACATTCTGAAGAAACCACAAATGGGGTAGGAATTTTTAAAGATTCTCAGTTCATAGACCCTTGCAGAAATGCAGGGTAAGCCTGCGTACAACAAACCCTTGTGGTCCGGCCCTTTCCCGGACCCGCGCATAGCGGGAACTTAGTGCACTGCGCTGCCCTTTTTTCTCAGTTCATAGCATAAAAATCAATTTAAAATGGATTTTTTAAACTTGCCACCCTAAAACAACCTACTACTATGCTGCAACAATTCTTTCTTCTAAGATTAAATAAATCTTTAAAAAATTATCATTCAAAAAGGCAATATTAGCCTCAAACTTTAACATCATCAATTAGAAGGTATACATATTAAAAGCTTATAAAATGCCTTAAAAAGTAGACTTGTTTCACAATTTTTCTTCAGGTTGGCCATCCTTAATTCCAGACAAGGCAATAATAACTTACAAATCTACAGGTCCAAAGCTGCTCCAGTCATCAGATGTTGGATCTGTATGGACAGTTTCAATCTTTGGTCTTGAAGATGGATCAGGAAAGTTCCAGAAAGAATCAGAATTCTCGAAGAACACGTA